AGTTATCTCTCAATAGATGGAGAAAAGAAATACCTAAGTCTTTCCCACAGAGTGCTTGCTGATGTATAATGCAGAGAATTTAAACAGAGTGCCAGGGAGTTGAAGATCTTCCAACTTAGTTCGTATCTGCCCCACCAGACCCTTCCTCACTCCAGCCATGTTTTTTTCCTCCATCAACTGTAACACATCGAAGCTGATTCCACTGAAGGTTAAAACCTTGCAAAGTTGTCTGCACTTCTATGAAAATGTCTTCTCCAGTTGTTGTTCTGTGTATGCTGCAAATGGATGTCAAATCTTCTGTGTTCTGAAAGTCCAAATTAACACCACGAACGAACACGAGAAGTCGTGACGACTCGAGAGATCAGTAGACTCATCCAGTACCAGAGAATACCACAAGAAGTTCCTAGCTTTCTCGCGTATCTGTAATACCATGTTCTCTCCAAGTTATTCTGTTCTCCGCACAACTGAACTTGCTGAAAGGCTGATACTTCCGAACAAATCGGCTTTCTCAGGACACAAGTCATTTGCTGCTTCCATCACACACTCTTTGATAAAGTTGCCGTCAGTAAACGGTTTTCCTCGCTCTGCCATCTTATGCACTATTTTGTAACTTGTACGAGTGACAGATTCATCTTCAGCAAACATTCTCGTGAAGATATTCCTTTGAGATTCCAAAGTACGTTTCATGAACTCAAATTTCTCAGAACGCAACTTTCCAGAAAACTTCGAATATGTTGTATTTAAATCTGGAACACTGGTTCAATACACGGATTAAAACCGAACAGGCGACTTTGGATATCAGAGCACTTTTTGTTTAAGTACCTGCAGTGAAGTTTCCAAGAAAAGCGATTACGAGCCTGTTGCAGCGAACGTGTTTTAACTTGCATTGCCGTGTTTAAACCGGTTTGAAAAGTGCCGTATATAAAAGGGACTGACTTCAGTGAATTATATTTTGCATATTTGAGTGTTAAAAGAGCTCACAAGAGGTAAGCATCTGATATTTTCAAACTTTGATATTTATTTATGCCCTATATTTTAATTGCCATACACTCAAAAAACGACTTAATTAAATTAACGAAGATTTTAATTAAATTAGTATCAAATTCTTAATACTATATTTGCCTATTAAGATTCTTAATATTTTTATTAAATGTGATCTTAATTATTTTTTATGAAGCTTTTCTAATTAACTTACATAATAAATTTTAAATACATTGGCAAATTATAAAAATTGCTTAATCAAATAACTTATCGGGAAAAAACCTTTAAACCAATTACGTAATAACGTAATTTAATGTCATAAACTATTTACATTTAGTTTGTCATGTTTATATACATGTCAAAAAATTTTGAAAAATTATTATTTTTCTAAAACTTTTTTGGTAGACTATTCAATGTGTAAATAAACAATTGTTTTTCATTTTCAGATCCTGTTTTCTTCACCCATCGTTATGACTACTAAGAAAATAAAAGTAGATGCTGAGTGTCACCTTTTCAATGAAGAATGGGGGAGAAAAGTACTTCTTTGTGGAAACAAACAACCAGAAAGCTAGTTGTATGATATGCAACGAAAGTGTTGCCGTTTTGAAAGAGTACAATCTTCGGTATCACTATGAAACAAAACATCTGTTAAATATATAAACACATATGTACAACACATAACTATACGTAGAAGCACACACAATACACGCACACGTCTTCTCTATCACAAAGTTGTGTAACCACGCGCACACTCGTCACACTACTTGTATCAACTGCCTGTAAGCATTGTATCGTCTTACAACAATGCACGCAGAGGCGACTGCAGGAATGAACTCTCATTGCAGGTACTTACACAAAAAGACTGCAGGAATGAACTCTCATTGCAGGTGCTAACACAAAAAGCGCTCTGATATCCAAAGTCACAAAAAGTTGCCGAATTTTTTATTTCATTGATTTTCCTAAAACTTATATTACTGTCAGATGCAAAAATCAGATTGGACAAATTTGGACATTTTTACTCACACTTATTTTAATTTTTTTACATAGTAAGTTTATCTACAATCTATGATATTTCCATATAAATAATCATATTTTAGCTCATTTGTGGCACAATGCAGCAGCGGGCTGGATCCGGGCCGCGGGCCGTAGTTTGGTGACCCCTGGACTAGAGGGTAGGCAGCTAGTCATCACCACCACCCATCGCCAACTCTTGGGCTACTTTTTTACCAACGAATAGTGGAATTGACCGTCACATTATAACTTCCACACGGCTGAAAGGGCGAGCATGTTTGATGTGACGGGGATTCGAACCCACAACCCGCAGATTGCGAGTCGAGCTCCCTAACCACCTGGCCATGCCGGGCCTCAATACAGTCATTACAAGTGTCCGCGGATGAGACAGCGGTAAGTATACGGACTTACAACGCTAAAATCTTGGTTCGATTCCCTGTGATATACACAGCAGATAGCCCAATGTGGCTTTGCTTTACAACAAACAAACAATCATAATCAGCGCAAATTTCAATTTAGTTTTCACTTAAAAATAAAGATAGGTTAACCTCAGTGTCAATTCTTGGTGTTTGTTTTATTTTAACGCATAGCTACACAATGGGCTATCTGCATTCTGTGTACTGCGGGAAGTCGGGAATCGAACTCCCGATTTTAGAAAGGTACGTATGTAAACTTACTACTGACCCACCGGCGGACTCTTTCTGGTCTGTAAACTCATTAGCGCAGTGATAAGTCTGAAGGCTTGTAAACGCTAAAAACCGGGTTTCGTTACGTTACCCGTGGTTGACACAAACAAATATCCTCTTGTGTAATTTTGCACTTAAAAACAAATAAACAAACAAATGGTAAATGATTAAATCTGTGGTTTGTAGGAGGTTGGGTTGCTTTAACTTCTACTGTGTCGCCCTCTAGACTCTAGTGTTTACGAAATAGATTTATAAATCTTTTACTAAAAGCGCGAAAATGAAAGTTGAAAAAATTTCAGCATTTTCGGTTTTTAAGAAAAGAAGAAAAGTTGTAAGTACATTAACGTAACTTATATTACAAAAAATGAGAAACATTTTTATGAAAAATGTTAAAAAATTCGCTTTGTAGCTAAGTTGAAAACTTGAATAGGGTTAAATTAAGCCTATGACTTACGAGTTGTGAATGTATTACTACTAGTACTAGGCCTAATCTGTAGAGTAGTTTGTACACGTGAGATCTATATATTTTGGTGGGACTCTTTATACAAAATTTATGATATATTTATACAAAAATCTAATATAGATCGTAGAGAAATTAGTTGCTGATTCGGTCATTGCACAGTATCCGGCAAATGATAAAAAGCCCTAAAAGTAAAATTGCTATTTCACTTTTAGCGATAGTTTGTGCAAGCCCATTGCTCTTTATAAAATAACTTACCAAAAGAAGAGTTTTTTAACTTTAACTGGAAGAATGCCTATCTAGCAGTACTACTAGAACGTCCAGAAGTCATGTTTACTCTAGTCTCAATTGTTAATGCAAAGTTGAAAGGCATAATATGTGCAAGAACTTGATGAAGTGAAAACATTGTGGATGCAGTCATGATACTATCATTGATAGGGTTGCTGTTGAAGTTAAGGCAGTCAGAAAGAAAGAATGGACATCCAACAATGTTTATATACAATCAAAAAGAGTACAATAAAACTGTACTTTAAAGTGGAAATAACAATAACATAATTTGTTTTTCTGTCATTGTAACAACTTTCGATTTCACTGCCTTAGTTCATTCAGACATAGACATGATTGCTTAGACAGCAGCCGATAAAAGTTGCACATTAATTTTTTCTACTAAGTATGTAGTGTTCTAGATCTCATGAAAATTTTGAAAAACATTATTAAAGTGCAAATCAAGGTCCAAATGTCCTGAGCAAAAGTAATCTTGCTTTGAGAAGACATTTTTGAAGCAAGAACTTGGGAGGAGTTTTCTGTGAGAAATTGGTGTAGTGGATTTTTACTTTTGTTCAGACAAACATGGCAATTTCTGTGTGACCCACTTTCAATTGTAGGGTTAAATAGTGCTTTATACTAATTGAAAGCTTATCAGTGACTAGTTAAAAAGAAGTGATTGTATGGAATGCTAAGCTGGATTATGCAAGTACACACAACACATGAAGCCATTTTACACCTTATTCAAATGTAATTGCAATTTAATCTTTTATTTAAGTAAATGTAATTTATATGTTGAAATGAGTAATAGTGGTACATTTTCAAGCATATTCTATCTGATTTCCATATGAGCCCTTAAGTTTTAACATTAATTCCTTTTACATTAATAGAATTTTAAGTAAAAAACATAATAAAAAATAAGCAAAAGAAAAAAATTCTATCTTTAAATATAATGAAATATGAAAATGAAAAAAAATTCAATTTTTTATGCTTCACTGACACAAATATCAAGTAGCACTGATTTGAACAGGACACTGATGAAAGACATTCATGTCCTTCATTCACACTTACTGTACACCAATTTTGCTGAAGGATAGTGGTATACATCTTGCAAGAATCGTGGTGAAATTCCCAGAACAAATGTGCAGTAATGAGTGCTAGCTAGCTACACATTTAATTCCTCTGGAAGTAGCCAAGTTGGCTCATTTATGTGTATTCATATGTTAACAGATAGGCAAAATTGATGAGTAAGAAAGAGATACAGATACATTGATAGGCTGCAGTGGCTCTCTTAGTCTCTTTATTCTCTCACATCTTTCTTTCTCTCTTTGCCCTCTAGTGGCATAGTGGTAAGCCTTAAGGCTTAGAATGCTAAAAACTGAGTTTTGATACCACAGTGGACACAGCAAAGATGGCCCATTGTGTAACTAGCTTTGTGTTTAATAACACACACTCCATCTCCATTCTGTATCAGTAGCATACATTTCAAATGCTGTTTTTTTTTAGAACAATGAAGATTCGTTGTGACAGAAAAAAATTATTAATAAGATAACATAAACTTTTTTTTATTGTTTCATTGCAAAACTTCAGGTCTTATACTAAATGAAAGGTAGTTCAAAAATGTAGTTTTAAAAAATTTCGAAACAAGCTGAAAATAAGATTACTCTTATATCAGAAAAATCAATTATCAAATTCCACTAATTGTCCAGCTGTAATGATAAACCATAAATATAATGAAACTAAAGCATTCTAGTGTTTAAGAACCTTTTTTTGTCAGTAGACAGTAAGAAGGAGATGATGTGGCACTAACATTGTTTTTTGTGATTATGTAGTGCAAAGATGAAAAAAAAGGTCTTTCCTCATATACTAAGTCAAGATTATTAATGGTGTTTATTATTTTAGGAGGGATCTAGTGACCATGTTGTTTCAAATGTTACACCTGACCTTTCAAGTTCCAGTAGAAAAAGAAAAATGGCAGTAAGTACAGGATGTTTCTATTACAATTTGATCAGGAGAATCAAATGCTAAAACATAAACTATATGTAATTTCAAGCAAGAATATGAAATTTGAACCTCTTACATTTTTTTATTGCTGAGATATTAATAAATTTGTCAAACCTACCAGAGAATAAGCTCTCTCTGACTTTAAGATTGTTCACTAATCAACTTTACCTGTATATAACCAATAGAAATATCAGATTCTTCTCTAGATAAATTTTACAGTCCTGCTTGCAGTTTGTCCCTTGTAATCCATTAGTCGATGAGAATTTCTTGGTTTGTATTGATCAGATTTGATGATCTGAACAGTAACAGAATGTTTTAACCTATTTATATTTCATTTAGAAAGCCAGAGAAATTATAGCTGTTTTGAGACAGATTCTACTGCCTGATATATGTTTTGGTTCTAAAATGCATATTTAAAAGCTTGTGAATTTTTTAAACACCCAAATTTATGAGATTCAACACTGCTTAAGGCAGAACATCAAATATTTTTACACAAGTGACAAGCAGCTAGAGTATGCAGTGAGTGTTACAAGTTCTAGGTTCTTATCTATATATTTTTTTATTTATTGTTATATATTTTAACAAAAGTAATTAAAGTGTAAAAAATTATAAACTACTCAGTTTAGCCTAGCAATACTTCAGTAAAATAAAATCTCTAAAATTATACCAACTCCAGTGCCATGACACTACATCATGTACTGTATATGTTACCTAATGGGCTCTTGCTGTGACTTATTGCTTTTGAAGTGAGTACAAAGTACAGCAGTAACACCATAAAATAAATAAGAAAACATATTAAAAAAGTTAACGTTGAAATTATTAAGACAAGTAATTTGTAACTTTCTGATCAACATTGTGGTCAGTGCAGAGGAAAAAATGGTATTAGTAATTTTATTTAATATTTTTCAACTTTTTATTTCATTCTACATTGATTTCTATATAGTTAGTGTTAGGGTAGAGAAAATAAGAGATAAGATATAGTTTTACCAAAAAAACTTTTGATATTCATTTAGGAAGTTCAAGATTTTATACAAATGAAAATGAATACTGTAAGATGAAAAGAAATATTTTTATTTTTAGCATGAAAATCACCTTTTACTCGGACTGACTTACTGAAGACTTTAGAAAGTCACAAGCAAGTCTTTATGAGAAATACTTTATTAAAAAATGTTTTTTGTGTGTGCACAACAGACTTGTAACGTATACTGAAAGCTCGCCAAATTTCATGAAGATATACATAGAAAATTTAGAGTTATCTATAGTTTCAAAGCTCCAAGGTTGGTTAAATTAACCGACTTCACTTTTATAGGAGCTTATGTTTTTTTTCTATAAAAAAATTAACAACATTTTTGTATTCTGTAAATGGAATTCAGTTGTAAGTACCTTTTAGATGTACATATATTTATCTTGTATAGTGCTGTGACAGATACATGAAAACAAGTTTTTATTTTTACAACAGAAAAACCGCTATTCAACAGGGGACATTACAGGTGAGGAAGAACCATCCAAAATGAATAGCCGGTTAAGCAAAAATCTAGAGAGACAGAGCCTGTCAGATAAAACCCTCAACAATATCTACCAAAATACAGATTTTTTACTGAAACAGTCTGACACTCAGTTAAAGAAAAAATGCAGCAGAAAAGCATTAGCTAATAATCACGGACAGAAAAGAAAAAGTATTGGGAAGGAACTAAAAGAAAAAACCACTAATGGAGCAGTAAAAAAGGAGAAAGCTGGATTCAAGTTTAAAGAAAAAGAACCTCCAACTCATCCAGGATCTGCTGGAGGTTTGTGTTGTAAATCATTATTTTTATATTAAAATTTATATTATTTATATTTATATTAATATTTTTTTTTATACACGTGTATAGCTGCTGTTTATATAAGCAGTTGACATGATTTTTTTATTTGTAAAAATTTTAAAC